TATTTGCAGTGGCATATTCTGGTCTCCTATTGTAATTACCTTTTGGGTTCTTCCTACCTGCTGTACACACAAAATCAGTTCACTGAGGCCATGGTATTGCAATAAAGAAAGAGTTTAACATGAGGCTGGACACGTGGGAGGGCTCAAGTTATCACTCAAATCAGTCTACCCAAAGGCTCTGAGGTTTGTGTTTTTCAAGGACAATTTGGTGGGCAGAGAACTAGAGAATGGTTGCCACTGATTGGTTGGGGATGCAATCATAGGAGTATGGAACATGTGCTGAGTCCTCCTCTGGGTGGGGAACCACAGGACCTGTGGAAAAGGAGTCATGAACCTTGGTGCGGTTCCTCAGTTGTCAGAGTGAGAAAGTCTGAAAAACATCTCAAAAGGCCAACTTTAGGTTCTACAATAGTGATTTTATCTATAGGCGCAATTGGGGAAGTCACAAATCTTGTGATCTCTGGCCACATGACTCCTGTGCAGTAAGGGATTATAGAAACTAACCCTACGTTTTAGCAGGATTCAGGTCCCTTGTGGGCTTTTACAGGTCTTACAAAGGTGGTTTTAGCCCTGAGCAAGGCAGGGATAGATTTTAAGAAGAGACTATTATCCTTGTCTCAATGTTAAACTATAAATTAAATTTCTCCCATGGTTAGCTTGGCTTACACCCAGAAATGAGCAAAAATGGCCCACCTGCCAGTTTATAAGCAAGATGGAGTCAGCTACGTTAAACTTCTCTTGCTTTTGTAATCTTGGCAAAGGATTCACTTTGCAAAAGTAATCTTTGCAAAAGTAATCACTCCAGTCATTTTTGGAGGTGGCGTGTCCTGAATTCCATCAATATAATGTTTATTTTAATACAAATTTAATATATGATAAAATTACATAATCTCACAAACTAACAAGGATCACCTTGTTATATTTGAAATTATTTGTTCATGAAAATTAATTGGTTATGGTACCTGGATATATATGCTTGCAATAAATTTCTGAGTTTTTAAAAGCATAAGACATGTTTTGTAAAAGAGATATAGAGTAAAAAATATAAAAGGTATTGGTGCTAATGGAATAAAATAAATACCTAAATATTAACTTCTCAGTGAATTTTATAGGGCAGTAATAATTTATAAAGAAGTTTCTTACTTAGCCAAGTAAATAAATGTGCATGTGCATGTTTCAAAATGACAAAACCCTTCTCTCAAATGTTAGCAAATTAAGACATTTTTATCTACTGAAACATCAGTTGCATTTCAACTAAAAACCGTTATTGAAATATTGAAGATAAAATTTGAAGATTGAAAAGTGACTGGCTACTGATGACTAAAATGTGGTGATTACATCTAAAATGGCATTCTGTTCAAAGGAACGTGTGTGTGCATATCTTTAATGTCAGCAATTGCCTTTGGGATGACACTTATTAGATTTAATGGTGTCATGTGCTATTTCAAGATTGGTATAGTGGTTTTCATAACACAATGTGCTAATATTCCACTTATGATTTAAAGTGTTAAAAGAAAAACTGTAGACAAATTAAATTTAGCAGAGTTTAATTGAGCAAAGGACAATACAAGAATTTGACAGGCCCTAGAACCAGGAAAGGTTTAATAAGACTCCAGGGCGCTCATGTGCCTGAATAACATTTACAGACAAAAAAGGGCAGTGACATACAGCAAGCAGAAGTGAGGTACAGAGGTAGCCTGATTGGTTAAAGCTCCCTATTTGTCCTGTTTGAACTTGGTTTGAACTGTTGACTGCCTATGGTTGACTTAAGTTTGGCTGCTGTGACTGGTTTAGACTTTGCTACTTGTTATGCAGTAAGTAACAGTCCGTTTACACTTCAAATTAGGTTACAATTTACTACGTATGCAAAAACTTTTAGGCCCAACTTAAGATAGGTAGGAAGGTAGATTTAGGCCAAACTTAATTCGATTTAACAAAAATTAGTTGTTAAAGCTCATCTCTTACTGTTCATGTCCATATTACAAAGATCACTTGATTCTGCTTGGGTTTTAAAATACAAAATTCTGAAACATGGTACAATGAATCAGTACAGTTACTTATTTAACCTAGAAGTCATGTCTGTGAAAAAGTTATTTGCATGTGTAATTGAGAATTCCCAGGTGTCTGGGAATGACTGGCCTAGAAAAGTGCTGATAAATAATAGGACACAATCTCAAGGGGAATTTGTTGTGCTAGTAGACGGTATAACTATCCCACACTTCTCTGCCTGAAGGAAAAGCAGAGGATGCCCAAAGAGAAATGTCTGGCCAACTTGTGCTTTAAAAAAATCTCTCAGTGAAATTCCTTCTTAGGCTGCAGCTTTTTCTACAGTCACAGAAAGGTAAAATATGGATGAATAATCTATCTAGTTCAATCTATGTGTCTATCAAGTGGCCTAAAGGGGTAAGGAGAGCTGGCTGTGTTTTCTGCCTTCGCATACGGAACACACTGTTATACAGCAAACCTGAATCAAGGTAAACCTAAAGTGATGGGATCACGATAGATAAATTAGAAAAAATTATACTAGGATAATCTAGGAACAGTCCAATAACTTCTATAAACATTACATAAAAGCCAGCGATAAAGAAAATTTAAAATATCTAGAAGGGTCATCTGTCTATATTAGCTTTCTAACTTGTATGTCAACTTCCACCCCCAACACACATACCTGCACAAGTACAATTGTATTGATATTTTATTGATGTCCTCTCCAGCCATCACCCCACCATACTCAACTTCCCCTAAGTTCTACATGTCTTGGTTTATCTATAATGCTTTGGACCTTCATATAATATTTTTTAATTTGGGGAAGGCTTATTTGCCTTTAAGTCAGATAATTTATAATTAAAATCATTATTATCAAGGTGTTTGGAGACTGTCACTCAATAAACAAGTGAGTATGTGTTTCATTTTTCTTGTTTTGCATTTTAAGATAGTAACTGTCTCTGTTGGGGCCATATCAACTTCTGGTCATTTTGTCACCCTGTTCTTCCTACAACTCTCTGAGCTGTTTCACTTGCTAGAGGGCATTGGTTTAGCTGTACCTGTGCAGAGAGGTTTCTGTTTGTTTGGTATTTGGGGTTTTTATTTGTTTATTTTCATTTTTTTTATTTTTTATTTTTTTGGTGTAAGACTTTCTTAACTTGTAGGCTTCTTTTGTAGTAAGTTTCTTAATTTCAAAAATAGTGATAATCACCTGGTCCTATGATATGTTAAAATAAAGTGTTGTTTAATTTTAAATGCCACTGAGAATGTAGATTTGTTAGGAACCTATGAAATATATATTTTGGAGGTAAAAGTGGAGATAGCGCAATTAATCTCACGCCCATCTTTTAATATATACTATCTATTAAACATTCATTTGTATCACTAGAGAAAGGGGTATTTGCAGAGAGAAGAGAGAAACTTTGCTTTAAGGGAAACAATATAGCTAAATGCCTAAAGAAGATGACCCACTATCCTATGATTTTAATTGAATATAGCATATCGTTCTCAAAAGTTGTGGCCAAAGGACTTGACATACTGAAAATGAGAATTTGACAGGGGGAAAAAAGACACAATTTTGTCTTCAAAGTGGCATTCTCTTTGTAGAATCAACTTAATCCAATCTATCACTGGTTCCTCAATTGACTATAGCATGTCTTAACTTCATATTTTGGCTCACACTATGTCTTTTGATGTTATGTGTTGTTGGAAAATTTGTAACTGATGCATGAGTGTGCTCTCTGTTCGAACTGTTTCTAATATATAATTTCCTTGTCCAGTGTTCTTTCAATAAGGGTACCTAGTCCTCTGAGGATATCTTGCTAGAATGATGCAAATGAAGAAGTGGACTATTTAATTATTTGTTAAACTACATTATATTGCAACACCCTACTTATCACAGTTGCTGTAATGAAGAGGACAATGTGATGACTATTTTTTGGCAAAGTGAAATGTTTAGTTTAAACAAGTAATGGGAAGTAATGGATAATCTGACAGGAATAATCCCCTACTGAGATATCCGTTTGTGGGGACATTTGGAAAGGTTTTGACCTGGAAAGCCTAATCTAAGAATCTCCCTTCTCACCCTCTCCCTACCCCCCAACTGAAAAGTCTTTTCTACCCCAATAAATAAACATTAATAAACATACATTTCTTTAAATATGATTTTCTATCTCAGTGTATTTCACTATACTGCTCCCCCACAAAAGAAACATACTGTTAAGAAAAAAGATGAGAAAATGCATATCACTGTAAATAATATATATATATATATATATATGAGAAGGCACAAGCAAAAGAATTGCATTGGCCCCATTAGGTAGTGCAAACACACTGGAGTTTCCTCACAATGGACTGGGGCATGAAAGACCCACATGCTGAAAAAATGACACTAAGTTGAACTTCTCAGACTACCCTCTGTAAGAAGCAAGGAGAGAGAATCTGAAATTGCCCAGCTTCTCTGTGCTCCATTTGAACTTAAGCAGTGCATTTGCTTTTGAACTCTCAAGCTTCAATCTCAGTCTCCAGGGTGCCCACTTCCCCTGTTTTGTTTGAACCTTTCCTCGTAGACACCTGTTGGGGACTGTATTAATAAGACACATTGTAGAAAGAGAAAATGCATTTTCCAAGTCAAGAAGGTGAAAGCTACTCCTTTCCAGGGCTCTTGTTAATCTTTGGGAGCCCAGCATCTTCTGTGGCAAAACAAAAATGATACAGGTGTAAATTCTTATTTTTTTCTCCACTCTTACAAAGAAAATATTGTTGACCTCTCAGTGTTCAGCTACATTTCTCTTAAGAGAAGCAATAGAATATTTCTTCCTTCTATCCTGAGGTTTTAGAACTGGATTCCCATTGCTTCCTAGCATCATTCTAAATAGAACCCCACTGTTTGGCCACGGCCAGAATTAGCTCCAATGGTACCTGTTATTGAAAGGGAGTCTGTATTTGCAGTAATACAGAGAATGCCAGTTTAGAAATGAGCCTGATTGCATGGTTCATTTTGTTCTCCTTTGTAGAGCCAGGCTGCGGCCCACTACAAAGGCACGAAACATGCCAAGAAGCTCAAAGCACTGGAAGCCATGAAAAATAAGCAGAAATCTGTAACTGCCAAGGACAGCGCAAAGACTACCTTCACCTCCATCACTACCAATACCATCAATACCAGCTCTGACAAAACAGGTTAAGCAATGATCTTTGTTGTTGTTGTCCTCATCATCGTCGTTGGGGGTTCCCTCCCTTGTCTAGCCCCATGTCTGTTTACTTGTGTGCCTGCCACATTGATTCATGCTTGAACCATCTTTCTGTGTAACAGTAATTGTTTCCTCTCATTTTTCCAAACCCCTACGAGATTAAGATAATCACTAATTATATTCCAGATTTTGCATTTTGAAAGAGTCCTGTGGCTGTTTCGGAGGAATAGTCATAAAAAGCTTTTGAAGCCATGTACCCCATAACTATTTTTGAGAAATGAACCTTTTCAATGTATAGCATTTGCATCTTGTATGCAGCACCTTAGCTTATAACTGCGTGGCAGATTTGATTTAACTGTGAGTACACAGCAAAGTCTGCTAAATGAATCGAGAAGGCCCCAATAAGGACACTGTTACAGACAGGCTTTATTCTCATAAATTCCAAATGCTGTATTGTTTTAACTAGTGGCTTTGTGATTCTGGGCTTGTTATGGCTGGGAACCTTCCCTCTGCAAACACAGGTAAGTGTTATTGATACCAATTACTCTTTTTAACAGAGTCTTCATGGTGAAATAATGGCCTCTGAATGGCTCCTTGGGATAGCTCCTGCAAACGACCAGCTTATTCATAATAGGGGAAGCTAGTAAGGTTTCCCTAAGCTGGCATTTTAAATATAAGACCACTGGTCTTCACAATTTACAGAGAAAACATTCCTGTGTGATTTATGAATGTACCTCTAATAAATCACTTTGTAGAGCACAGAGACTGTTACACATCAATTGTTTTCCAGTCCATATGAATGGCAATGGTAAGGAAACGTTCATATCATCACCAGTGGTAGTGTCTGAACTGAAAAAGAATCTTCAGGACATGACTGATGAAAATAGAAAATAAACAGTGAACAAATAGATTACAACAACCTTATTACACAATGTAACATCTACTGGACATGTATAAGCTCTTCCAAGGATTGGGGATGCTGCAAGTGAACCTGTAAGGGATAATGATGTTCTGAGTTCCTGTGGCATTTTCTATTTTCTTTACCCAGGTATTACGGATAAATGCATCATGCTGCCCTCCCTAAGAACCCTGTGTCCTCCCTCAACCTGAATACTTGTCTCATCCTTGTATGCTGGCACCTGGTCTGGCATGGGATAGGTGCTGAGTAAAATGTCTATTGAACGACTGAGTCTTACTTCATTCCTTTGGTTTGGTTCTCTGGTATAGCCAAGTTTGTGCCACCACCTACTAAAGTGCAAAAAAAGACTGGATTGTCATATTCACTTCCTTGTTATCCAGTGCCAAGAGCTAGATTATGCCATTTCATTAATTTAGATGTAAAACCTTTTAGGGAAAACATTGGTCTTTTCTCTAATAATCTAAGACTAACTGCTTTATTTTGAGGGCTGAAAAAGAATGAGTGGTAATGAAGCACATAAGCGTCATTTCTGCTCTAGGATATTGGGTCACAGGTGGGGATTACCAAAGCTGCATCTGGCATAGAAAGTGCAGAAAAATCCTGAAGCCTTTCTGATGCAAAGAAGGCAGCAGATAGGGAGAACAAAGAAATGAGTTTGATGCAAAGTGTTAATGTGACATTTTTCCTTGCTCCCAATTTTTTCTACTTTTAGACTTTTTGAATCAAGAATTCATGTTTGGGTTATCTCGACTTTTTTAAAATATGAAAATATTTGTTTCATTAAGGATGTATGTCATTTTTAAAATTATATATATATAAAATTTTAAAATTATATATATATAAATATATATGGGGGGGAGAGAGAGAGAGAGAGGGAGTAGAGCTGCTAACTTGGGTTAAGAAAGGCCTCTAAGTGTGTTGTCTCTGTTAAGTAAATCAGCTGTGACCACATACCTTCATCTCTTAACTTACAGACTAGAATGTGTCAACCTAGAATAATCCAAAGAGTCAGAATCTAGTTTAAAGAGAGTTTATCCAAGTGTAAAAGTTGGAGGATGGCTGCTCAGAAAATGCAGATTCCAGAGAACGGAAGTCAGTATTCCAAAGTATAGAAGTTTAGTGTCATTTTTATAGACAAAGTTTAGGGAAGTTTAACAAAATTTCAACACATCTTTCTTTATAAGGCTCAATGCTTAGTGACAATAATCTGACATTGGTTCGGGTGACTTTTTCTTTTGGGAAAGGTATATTTAACATTTTATACTGAGGATATAATACTCATGGGGTCTTTTGCACCATCTAGTCTGAGTTAGGTACAGGGTAATAAAGGATGCAGTTGACCTATAACAAATATCAGTAATTGGAAGGGGGGCGCAGTCTGGTGTCTGGTCTCTCCTAGCCATTTATATAACAAGAACAACGAGGAAGAGAATTAACCCAAAAGAAGCAGACATACTCTGGTAAATAGGATCCCTGGAGCCCTGGAGAGGGTTGGGACAACAATAATGAAAAGGACAAGGAATGGTATGGACTTTAATCAGAAATTGATGTGAGGGTTTTCTGTTATAAAGACAGTTTTGATTGATAATTCCTCTTAAACACGTAAGTCATATATTGTTTACCAGTATAAATAATATGGTTTTATCTGCTGCCCTACAGTGACACACATGTCTAAACCATGGGGTTAGCTCCTAATCACTAACTTTATGATCTTGGGTTTTTGTGTTGCCTTTTTTTCCCTTTACTTATGCCAGTCTGCTAATGTGCTGAGCAGAAAGTAGTATTCAGTGATCGGCCGCTGACCATTCATAGAAAGAATGCCTAGTTCATCTATCTCAAGACAAAAACACACTTCCTAACATAAAAGAACAATTCTAATTCTGTGATCCAATGAAGAGTGTTAGGCTGGTAGATTTATATGTATAAACGTTTACCAGTAAAAGTGATATTTAAAAAGAATATATTGAGTATTCTAAATTGTTTGTTGATAAGAGTGGTTACTATTTATCACAGAATATTTCATAGAGCATTTCCAAAGGTAGACAGAAAATCTGTCTAATCTAGCAAGTTTTTTTAAATGCAAGTTTTTTATTCAGAAAAATTAATGGCAAAAATTTAAAAATTATACTCAAAGTAACTAGGCAAGTTGTGTTTTTTGTTCTTCTATGAAATGACAAATTCAGAATTGTCTGAATAAGTCCTGTGCAAGGTCATTCTCTGATCTTTCTTTACTTTTGATTCTTGGGGACTCTCATTCATTCCCATTGCTTATCAGTTAGTTTAGGCAAGGTTATATTGCAGTAATAAACAGCCTCTAAAATCCTAGTAGCTTTTGCAGTATCTAATTTTTTCTTACTCATACTACATATCAGCTGAGGTTTTTCTTTCATCTTAATTTAACTCCAGGACTAGGCTAATGAAGCAACCACTAGCTTGATAATTCTATGGAAGAGGGAAAAAGGCTCTTGGAGCTTTTTAATGAATGACACATAATATTTCTCTCACTTTTCATTGGTAAGTTACATGGCCAAGCCCCATTACAATGGGGAATGGAAGAATAATTCTCCTCCAGAGAAGAAAACAGGTATCAGTCAGCAATAATATGACATTCTTTTGCTAACTTAAATCATGAGAACTACAAATACGGAGAGAAGAGTTTTTTTTTTTTTTCCTATAAAGAGTTACAGCCTGCAAGGTGGCCATCCTGACAATCTGGGAAGCACAGCCTCCAGCAGAGTCTGAGAGTAGGTACTTCCAGGGAGGAGAGATAAAAAAGGAATTTACACTGAAACGGTTGGCCAAGTATACATATTCAAGGGGTTAGAGGAGAAGCTGTGAATATTCACAAAGGGGGGACATATGCATGCACAGTACAGAAACATGCATGTTACATATGACCATGTTCATTTTGGGGTGGAGACTTAACATTTAAATAAATTACAGTTAGGTCCTATGAGTCAAAAGGTGAAGCAGGGACATGAAGGCACTTACATATGCAGCCTATGTAAGCTGGCCAGAACCAGTCCATGGCCAGTGGTCTCTTATTAAGAGAAAGTGACTGAAGTCAGTCTCTTGTCCAGTCAAGGCTGTAGGTATGTCTTGTGAAAAGTTGGGAGTGTGAGGCAGTGTCTGGCGGTCTGTAAGCTGCAATTGTTTCAACACTGCTTGAATTGGGTTCTTGTTTAGCTGCTAGAGACATGAAAAATGTTGTGACAGTCAGAACATACTTTATCCTCTAAGTGTAGGGGTATGTGCCTTAAACTTTGTCAGGCATGGCCTTAGTTCTTATTTAGAATTTTGTATCTTATTGCCACACAGAGTTTGTTCCTTCAGTCTTATGGTCTCTATTTGAACACTGCCATGGCTTCCTTCAATTACCACTTGTGCTTACATGTCTCAAGATTCTCCTGCCTCATCCTTCTCGTAAGTCCAGATCTGCTTCTCCGTGGCTCATTCCTCACTTACTTGGATGGTTTTCCAGGATCAATACTTAACAGGTTCAAAAAACCAAAACACAGTCCTCATCCTGACCATCATCATTTATTTTGAGTCCTGCACTTCCTAGATTTGAAAGCTTCTAGCTGTCTTTTCCTCTCCTAGGTTCTCACTTCTATTCAGTCATTAGAGTCCACTTCCTCTCCATTCCTCAAAAACATCTTTCACACTTTTACACGTTGCTACTACCCATAACCTGCCCTCATAGATCTATGTCTTTCGCATACGTTTGCCCTAGCTTCTATGCAGGTCTAACTGCCTCCACACCTGTGTCTTGACAACCATATCCTTCATTACACTCTCCAGTTATACTCCACAGTCCATAAATTACATCTCTTACCCATTCAAAAACTATAATGTACCTCTATCCTTTACCTCACGATCACAACCTACCTTTCCAAACTTCTCTTCCACTGCTTTCCTTCACTATTTTCCACCAGAGGCACACCTTGTTTTTCCATTATTGTTTATTGTACTGTAGTTCTAAAACTCTCTCTGAAAAGTCTGTCACTTTTCTTCCTCCTGCCTATAAGGTTCCCTAAGAATCAATTCCTTTCCAGCTGCCCTATCATATT